CTTGCTGCACGCATGAGAGGGGCCCGCGACGAACGGCGCGCTGAGGGAGCCGCGACGTGTGGGCGTGCGACGAGGGCCTGTGGGGCGGAGCACACATTCTTTCCCTTCTGTTTTGTTCTCTTGCGGCCAGGGCGGGCAGACACCCGCAGCGCCACACACACAAACTATGCTGCCATGTTTTTCTTTTGTTTTTGTTTTTATTTGTGGATGGGTGTGTGCTGCCACCGTGCGTGATTGTTGAGGTTGGGGCCGTACCGCATGTATCGCTGCCATCCATCTGTGCCTCTTGCTGTGTTGATGTGCCTCCCTGTGCTCCTCCTCTTTTTTCCGTTTCTCCAACACACACCCACACAAGTATTTGCAAAGTGCAATGCAGGAATGTTTTGGCGACGGCGGGACGTTGGCCTGCATCCCGTGCTGACATGGCGAGGCCGCTGCGTGTGTGCCTGTGCGGTGGGAATCACGGCGCCATTGGATGGAGGTGTGTGGGACGCCTTTTGCATTGAGTTTGTGGCCGGTTTACGCGGCTGCATGATGCCCGCCATGCATGAAGGTGTCGCCTGCTCTTGGGGTCATTCTTCTCCCCTGTGTTTTTGCTTTGCCGGGTGTGGGTGTTGCTCGGCGTGTGCTGGCGCGTGACTGACGGTGCCACGATGGCCTTCTCTGGCGGTGACCGTCGCTGTGCTCTCTGCACAAATCCACAATCTCTTCCTTTTTTTTTCTCTGTGGGAATGATTGGAGCACGAGAGCGTGCCCCACGGAAGATGCTGACGGTGCTGCAGAGGACGGGGCGCCGAGGGAGAATGATTGTTTGAACTCGTTGGACGAGCTGACGCCGCGCCCGTTTGTGATGGACGCGTTGAATTGCGAGCTGAGCAACATGGAGACTCGCACGGTTGTTGCGCCGTATTTCTTCTAGCACTGCGACGCCACCGGCCACACGACGTTGTGGTGCCGCTACATGTACAAGAAGGGCATCGAGATGTGTTTTATGGCGGCCAACCTTATCCGTGGGCGCTTGCAGCGCAGCGGGAGCGCATGATGGACTGCGTGTGCAGGAGGGCCCGACGATCCCGAGGCCTGTGCTGGAGGGGCGCGTGTTGAAGTGGGCGTGGCGTGCCTGTGAGGGTCTGAGGCGAGAGAATAACGGTAATAGTGACTGTGGGAGTGTGAGGAACGGTGCACGGGCGGGAGGCGGTTATTTTTTGCTTTTGATTGTCGTTGAACCGCGCCCGCCTAATTGTTGTTGTGCGTGACTCTCATTGCTGTGCGGTGACGGTGCGTGGCTGTGTGACTCGTGCCTCCTCTTTTCTTCCACTCTGCGTTGACGGGGTGTTAGTTTGTGCTGAAGGCTGCACGCGAGTGACAGGAGTGATGGCGATGATGATGACTGGCCGTGTGCTGCTGGTGTGTGCCCTCTGCGTGCTGTGGTGCGGTGCAGGCGGTGTTTATGCGAGGGACCTCGACAACAGGGCACTGGGTGGCTGCATGGCGTCGGGAGTGTTGGGTATGAATGCATCGTATGAGCCGAACGGATGTAATGAATACATGCCGACGCCGCCTTTGCGGTCAGCACTGCCTATCCCTGCCATACAAGCCGAAGATGGGCAGGTAAGGGATACTCCTTCAGGTCCTGGTTCTGGTGGTGGAGGCGGAGATAAAGGTGCACGTGATCCTGCTGGTGGTGGTGATGGTCATGCTGCTTCTGGTCCTGTTGCTGGTCCTACTGCTGATCCTCCTGCCGGCGTTCTTGATCCTACTGGTCCTGGTGGTAATGATGATTCTTCCGGTGCCACGGGTCTTCCTGGTGCCGCGGTTTCTTCTGTTGGTCCTTCTTCTCTTCCTGGCCCTGCTAATTCTAATGCTGCTTCTGTTGGTCTTCCTGCTGGTTCTGAAAATAGTAATACGGGTTGCGGAGAGGTGTCGGATTGCGGAAGTCAAGGAAATTTGGAAAAGGCAACAGTGGAAAAAGAGGATTTCACGGTATCCAAAGCACAAAAACCTCCAGCGACGCAAAACACGAAATCAAAAGACAATGAGGAGAACCCAGCGGAAGCATCAAGTACGGAATCTGAGAATACGGAACCCCAACAAGAAATAAAAACGCCAGTGGATGAGAGTGACAGTACGAGCACCGATGCATCCACAGCGGTTGCCGCACGGAGTACATCAGCCGGCAGTCAAGAAGAAGCAACTGCGTCATCTTCCAATGGCAGTCATTCTCCACTTCAGGGGGAAGTATTCACTGGAACGGACACTCCCGAGAATGCTCCATCTCCGGCTGCCGCAGAAACAGAAAAACGCCAAGGAGAAAATGTGACGACACCCGGCGACAGCGACAGCAGCCCCGCGGCTTCCCACACCACCTCCCCTCTTTTGCTTGTTGTTGTTGCGTGTGCGGCTGCTGCTGCGGTGGTGGCCGCGTGAGAGTGAGGGAGAGAGAGCCGTGCACCGCCCGCACACACACTCGTCCTTCTCTCTCTGTGTGTGTGTGTCCCCTTGCATGGACTCTCGCCCTCACCTCACCCCACGAGGCACACACATAATGTGCCCATTGTATATATGCATGCGCACCCATGCAGGCCCGTTGGTGCTCTCTTTTGCACGACACGCACCGCTGCCGTCCTGCCTGTCTGCATGGGCGGAGCAC